ACCAATGCGATATTCACCCATGTCTGCACACTGCAATCAAACCAGGTCTCGGCAGTGCTGTGAGATCAGATGGAGAGCAGGGAATATGGCGCTGTTGCCTGTTGCGCAAGTCTGATGCCAGACGGGCTAAGATGCGCCGCTGTAGGGAAAAAGTCGGTGGCCGAGCTGCTGCTCTAATGCCAACAGGACCTGCAACAAGCGCGACAACGGAACTATCAGAGAAATAAATGAAGCAGATGAGATGCTAATAAAATCGCATAGAAGTGATGATGGTGAGTGTGAAAGAAGAAAAGAGAGAGAGAGAGGAAAAAACGAGGGCGGAAAGGAAGAGGTTTTTTGTGTGGTGTAGAGAGGGAAGGAGAGGGCTGGGGAAGGAGCTGCCTGTTATCTGGTAATTTGGGGGTGGCGCGTCGCGTCGGCTAAGAGAGGATTGGAAGGCTTGTGACGGTTCAGCTCAGGGCTCACTTACAGCGCTTCTGGGGGGCTGACGCAGTGCTGGCGATGCAGGAAATTGGGCGCAAATGCACTGATACGTTCATAACGGTTGATTGGAAGCTGAATTGCATCCAGAGAAGAAAAGAGCAGGTCAAGCAGTTGACAAGAGGCGTGTGGCTGATGGGGGGCAAGGAGAGCGATTCTGGTGCAGCGCTGGAGATTGCCTGTGACATTGGATGCTTTGTACGCAGCTTGACCTGTCTGTCACCTGTAGTTACTGGAGGAACAGACGAGGCCTGTAAATCCAGTAAAGACAATACAATCACACAAGAACAGAGTCGAATAGACAAGGCGGATTTTTCAAGAATGAGACAGGGTAGATATTATCATCATGTGAGTATAGGTGCTTATTCTCGTCAACACATCCCGCCCCTTTTCAAAAGCAACACCCACTCTACCAAAGCAGTAAGTAGGTAGGTAGAAACATACATCCTCCAGCATGGCAAAATCCCTACAAAAATGGGCACCATCCGATATACATGGCCGCCAGGTTCCTCGGGTTGACCGCCTGCTTAATCAACTCCTCCACCTGTCCCTCCACACTCAAAGGGATGCTCTCGTTCGGCAGCAGCCCCTTGACCTTTCTCTTGATGCTGTCCACCACACTCTGCGGCTGCAGCTTCACCCCGAATTCACTCCTCTTCGCCGCTCGCTTGTCCTTCTGCAGATCCAGCGTGGGATCGTAAATGAACGCCTCCAGGATCGTCACCAGCGTCTCTTCCTGCTGGCGCAGAATGCTCAGCGTCAGCTCGGATGACTTTCGGAAAGGCCCCTCGTAACCGTAGATGCCCATGGCGGCCACCATGTTGTGCGTGAGGCGGAATGGTACGCGCTCTGGTTTGGCAAAGGTGAGGCCCTTGTCGAAGAGACAGTTAAAGTCTACATGGAAGACTCCTCCGCTCCCCTCCTCCAAGTTGACGTTCTCTCCGTGCCGATCTCCCAGGCCGAGGATCGTACCAACCATGGACATGACCGCGCACGAGCGCGTATACCTTAGGCGTGCGCTGAACCAAGCCGACGGGTTGGGAAACTGTTGGATGAACCACAAG